AAATCAAAACAATCTAAAATATAAACAATCAACGCCCCCCCCTCAGCGGGCCGCGGTAAAATTATCAAACGTTGACCGGTCCGCGGCGATAAAAAGGTTGGGGAGCACTGTTCTATCTGACCTCCGGCCTCCCCTTCAGTCTTCTATCTGACCTCCGGCCTCCCCTTCAGTCTTGCACAGTTGTACCGGCTCCTCTCCTGGACTGAAATGGCTTCTCTGATTTCACTGCTCCTCACAATGTGCATTAGAAGCTGCAGCAATTCACATGGAGCCCACCTTATTTCTTGGCTGGAGGACTTCCAGCATCATCCATTCTTTTCCTCCCCAGCCTGATTGTCCCTGGCCCAATTAATTGGATTTCGGTTCTTCTGGTCGTGGCGGCTCGGCATAACATGTGGGCTTTACCTAGAGTGGTCTACCTGTAAATACAGGCTGCCTGAGAAGTCCCTCTCCTCCAGACCGACATCCACCCATCAATGCATTCTAATATGATTGTTATATTATACAGGGTTTATAAAGCGCCAACAGTTTGTGCAGCGCTTTACAGCATATGGAAGTGTTATTGCAGTCTTCTGCACTGACCCATTCTATGTCCTCTGCTCCTCCAGGTCAACACTCAGCTGTACAGCATGAAAGAGAAGCAGCAACTGGCAGAATTGATCAATACAATGCTGGCCTATAACCTGACCTACCACCAGGAGCGCACCATGGACGGGCAATACGTTTACAAGCTTGACCCGTGAGTACAATGTCACTCCTCTTCCTGCACAGTGGTGTGCTGTTGTCCATCCTGCTTTGCTTCTTACAGCCCACTCTCTCTTCTTTTTTTCATGTGATCCCTTAACTTGTTTTGTCCTATAATATGTATTTATTGTAAACATTCTACGCTAGGCTTCGGTGTGGATTGCCCAAAACACACGAAGGGGGTTCATTTATAAAAACGCAGTGTGGCATACACCATTCATACAGCATTAGTGCCCCTAGATGGCGCTGGGGAGCAAAGGAATTTCTATACTCATCGGTGCCGTCTAGTGGTGCTGGTGCCATGCGAACGCCATCTGTCCGGCGTATAACTTTCATGCCTGAACCTCTATGATTGTGACTGTCCAGCCTACACCAACCTGCAGCCGGTTGTTGTAGGCCTCAATAAGCTCATAATTGTATGCAATCATGTTATGGTAACTCAGTCTTGAGGTTTTATTAAACAGAAAGATTGAATGGTAGGGGACCTACTGACTGGTCACTCTTTAAAGCTGAGCAGATAAGGAAGGTATCGTGAAAATGCCCCCAAAAAAGGAAGCTTGGCTCAGCAGAGGGGTCCGGACAAGTCAGACGAAGTCTAGATCTTTCATTATAGAACAGGAGAGGGCTATGATGTGCAAGGAGAAGCGAGGATCGTGCTAGGGCAGGGGTGGGCAGCTCCAGCTGCTGTGGAACTACAAGTCCTATGAGACATTGTAAGACAGTCATAGGCATGACTCCCAGAGGCATGTTGGTATTTGTAGTTAAAGCACAGCTGGAGGGCCGGAGTTGCCCACCCTCGTGCTAGGGAATTAACTCTCTTGGAGTAGTAAAATTTTCAATCAAAGGCGCATTGCTAGTAAATAATCAATTACGGAAAGGACAAAGCTCATTGGAAATAATTTTTCTTATCCTTTTGCCAGCAATTTTGTTTTTTTTAAGTTATTGGCAGGTTCTCTTTTAAGGCGGTCATACAATATCCTGAATGTTTCCAGGTATGTTTTGCAAGAGATGGGCAAGGAGCTGTTTGTGGATTCCTATGGGATGTTCCATGGGGGCAGCAATCATTCCTTTTATTCTAGAGATGAGGACTAGGAATCATTACTATATGTGCTCTTTATTCACACGTCGGCCAAGCCGGAGACGTACCAGTGAAATTGCAGTGGGCACGGTGAGGCATTTTCTATGGCACCTGTCGCACCTTGCGTCGCCGGCGGATGAATCAGAGCAATGTTATTAATGTGTTGCTGGTTACATAATCTCAGGGGTGGCTTCTCCTGGAGACCGGATTATGCGACGCATCTCTGCCGCTTGTTATCAGCCCGCTCCTGCTATCACATGCACCGCACGCTCGTGGGAAGCAGATGGCAGCCCACTCTATAGATGCCTTCCCCTGCCATTTAATCACCACGCAGCCTCTCTGCCATCTCTCGCTTCGAATCCAGAGACCGAATACAGCTCCTGGTCTCCCAGTTCAAGGCTGGGGGGGAATGGAAACCCACGTTCACCTTTTATAACACATTGCACCTGAAATAGATTTGTTGTACATTATTTATTCTCCTATTTCTTTATCATTAAAAAAGAGCCCAGCTCAAATATTGACTTTGGCTATTCCAGCTGCTGCCCCTGTTTTCAAAATCCCAATAGATAAGCTGCAATATATGACTTTTTTTTTTTTTTTGGCTTTAGATACACTTTTTAACATTCTTTCCTTTGTTAATAATCATGCTGCACCGACTTGGATAAATAGATGCTGCTAATTAAGTGTCTAAGAAATCAGCATATGTGGTGTAAAACATGAAATTTGATTGGTTGTTGTGGGCGATGGCTAGTTGTTATGAATTGATACTTGGATATAAGGGGCAATATGGCGCCAACACACAAAGCACATTGGAACTGGAGAGGAGGCAGTTGCCTCTGTTTAAGCCTTTGTGCTTTAGGCCTTATTCACACTAGCTGCTTTGCCTCATAGTGTAAAGGGCCATTTTTTGCAGTGAGCAGCTTCCGCAGCTCCCGGTGCATCAAAATGTGGCCCTTCACAATGTACGGGGCAATTGAATGAGGCCAAACGTGCCCCTTTTTACTTTTATTTTTGGAGGAGGAGGAAATCCACATTTGTGTTATACATTAGACACCATATGGATGCCACTGCTGTATACATTGGTGCTTGGATGCCATATGAGTGCCACGGCTGTATACATTGGTGTTTGGATGCCATATGAATGCAACTGCTGTGTACATTGGTGTTTGGAAGCCATATAGATGCCACCGCAGTATACATTAGTGCTTGTGTATAGAAGGAATTGTATTTCCTGTCTTTAACAACTAATTGGCTTTTCATTTTCGAAATGCTAGAGACTACATCTGGCTAGGATCTTGTTTTAGCAATAGTGGACAACTCCGGTCCCCAGCTGTGCTTAAACTACAAATCCTAAAATGCCTCTGAGTCATGCCTGTAACTGTCAGAGTCTTGCAATGCCTCATGGGACCTCTAGTTCCACAACAGCTGGAGGGCCGGAGTTGCCCACCCCTGTGTTATAGGCAACCCAAATGAAATGCTCCGGATGAAAGTGGTAGGTTGTCATAGGTCGCCATGTCTTTGTTTAGCTCTAATGAATGTTTTTGTATTTTGCAGCAATGTGGAGGATGTGTGCAGGTTCCCTGACCTCCCAGCCCGCAAGCCGCTAACATACCAGGCCAAGCAGCTTATTTCACGAGAGATTGAACTGGAGAAGATGAGGCGGTCGGAGGCCTTCCAGCAGGCACGCAACGCAGGAAGGGTGAGTGCTGAGGGACAGCGGTGATGTGTTTTCATAACCTGTGTGCTTGATCCTCACTGAAGACGAATTATCCAAATGGCTGCGGCCTTAAAGCTGAACTCCGGGATAAGCAAATATTGTTCTCATGCAAAAGCCGTGTGTATTGCTGCACGCTCTGCTTGGGCAAAGTGATTGGTCTTGTACCGGCCCCCTCCTGCCATTTTCTGCAGGCAGCCTGTAGTGGGTGGGGCTTCCTGGGTCCCTCCCCCAGCTCTGCTCTCTGCACAGATTATGTGCAGCTCAGTGATGATGTCACTACAAAGTAATAACTGGGCTTGCAAAGACCTTTTTGGAGCGTAAAAAGAGGTTTTATATCTTTGTGACTATTGAGGGATACATTGAAGTGTAAGTTGATGTGCCTGTAGCTCGGCTTTATACTCAACCCATTATGGGAGAAATACAGGGGCTGCTGATCTCATTGTGAAAATGCATGAGAATGAGGCCAGGTCTCCTTCTCTGCATACGTATGTTCCAGATCAGGACTCAAGTAGAGAAGCAAAAAGATTAGCATGACGGATATTTGTGTGTGCCGGTGAACCGATGTGATTACTTTTCGTTTTTGCACGGCGCCATCTGTGCGATCACCTTGAGCACCACTGATACCATGGAACCGTGAGACCGTAAGGAGTGCAGGTGGCCTTCTGGAGATTAGCATGACAGTCAGGCAGCTATAATAATTGACATATAATGTTTTAGATCTCATTATTTACTTTATTTATATATAATATTTTAGTGATATTTGGGAACGGCTCAATGACCCTCAGGTCCTGGTCACACGGTTCCGTGCCATGAACGCACTGGATCGCATAAACAAAGCCTTCCTTCGTTCTGGGGCGTGGTGGTGCTATCCTTTTTAATGGCACCGCAGACACACCTCCCCCTGCAGTGAGTTTGTCTGCACCAGAACGTGCAGTACTACAATGCCCTGCGTCCCAGTGTGGGGCGGGCGCAAAAAATAGTCCATGCAATTTTTTGGAGATTGCACCACACTGGAATGCCAGGGCATTGCGGTACTGAGCAGGCAGGCAGGGGGCATGTCTACGGTGCCATTGAAATAAATGCACCACCACGCCCCAGAACATGGGGGAGGCTTTGTTAATGTGATCCAGTGCGTTCATGGCACGGAACCGTGCCGTGGATGCATTGGATGGTGTAAACTGGCTCTTACGCTGGTTCTTTACCTTCAGAGGCGTCCTGAGAGGTTTTACAGCCAGTTGCCAAAAGAATCCCATCTAGTGTTTCAGCTTTCACAGACCAATAACTTCTTACCAGTGACTTCTATAACCTTGGAACATATCATGCATCTGAATAAGAAAGGTAATAGGAGCGGATCTAGTGCCGTCAAGGTGAGTTCCAAGGCTGCAGATAACATAAACCGATCATAGTTTAATGTCTATTTTACTTTTTTCCCTCACTGACATGCACATTACAGAGTGATAGTTTTACACACGAATGGTGTTTCAGCTGGCGTTCCCTTTTTGTTATTCGCATGATGTTGTCGTTCTTCTGTAGATGTATTTTTGATCTGCAGATGACTTTTGACGTTTCATTGACTAGTTATAGTTGCTAGGTTTTTTTCGTTCGCACACACTACGCTCATTCACTAATTGGGGGAAAAAAAGAAAACAGTAGTGACGTTGGTTACTTTAAATATACACCCTCGTGGGTTGTCGTGTGCAGAGGGAGAATCGCATCCCTTCTACCTGTAGTCACCGTAGAGCATTAACGATTGTCAGGAGTCACCGGATGCATGCCAAGGGCTCCCCGCAGGACCACAGTTGGGGAACATGTCAATCCCAGAAGCCTCTCTGTTTACACGGTATCTCGGAGACCCGACTGGAAAGACGCAAACAGCCATTAACAGCCAATCTCGCCGGAATGTCTGCATCTCGTACAGCAAAAGGGGATGATGAAACATGAGGATGTATTAAAATAGATCCATAGCTATCCAAATGTCCTCTTCAACCGTGCCATGGAAGGTATCAGTTTTAATACGTTTATTTGCCAAAGAATGATACATTTTTGGAATTGGCTGATGCTGGGAGGCAGGTCCAGGCTGATTTGATAACTCCGCCCCCCAGTCAGTGTGTCTCTGGCAGCCTGAGCTCACAGGAAGTGGGTTTGATGACGCTAGGCATCATTCAGTTCAGAAGTTGAGTGACGCCGGATCTTGGGGAGTTCTTTTTGCAGGGGGACAGTACCAAAAAAAAAAGGAGTTAAAGTGACATTAAAGGAGAACTATGAGGTGAGCGCTTTTCACTCACCTCATAGTTCTAGCCGACCTGTGACAATGAGACTGTCACAGGTCGACTCAGTAGATCGGGAGGTGAGCGAACATATATCCTTCTCTTCTCTGATGTCCCACGGAGTCTGTGCGGGTGCACGCTGCTCCATAGACTTACCCTGTGTCTCTCCCGGCCAAACATCTGAACTGCGCATGTTTAACTTCTTACCAGTGACTTCTATAACCTTGGAACATATCATGCATCTGAATAAGAAAGGTAATAGGAGCGGATCTAGTGCCGTCAAGGTGAGTTCCAAGGCTGCAGATAACATAAACCGATCATAGTTTAATGTCTATTTTACTTTTTTCCCTCACTGACATGCACATTACAGAGTGATAGTTTTACACACGAATGGTGTTTCAGCTGGCGTTCCCTTTTTGTTATTCGCATGATGTTGTCGTTCTTCTGTAGATGTATTTTTGATCTGCAGATGACTTTTGACGTTTCATTGACTAGTTATAGTTGCTAGGTTTTTTTCGTTCGCACACACTACGCTCATTCACTAATTGGGGGAAAAAAAGAAAACAGTAGTGACGTTGGTTACTTTAAATATACACCCTCGTGGGTTGTCGTGTGCAGAGGGAGAATCGCATCCCTTCTACCTGTAGTCACCGTAGAGCATTAACGATTGTCAGGAGTCACCGGATGCATGCCAAGGGCTCCCCGCAGGACCACAGTTGGGGAACATGTCAATCCCAGAAGCCTCTCTGTTTACACGGTATCTCGGAGACCCGACTGGAAAGACGCAAACAGCCATTAACAGCCAATCTCGCCGGAATGTCTGCATCTCGTACAGCAAAAGGGGATGATGAAACATGAGGATGTATTAAAATAGATCCATAGCTATCCAAATGTCCTCTTCAACCGTGCCATGGAAGGTATCAGTTTTAATACGTTTATTTGCCAAAGAATGATACATTTTTGGAATTGGCTGATGCTGGGAGGCAGGTCCAGGCTGATTTGATAACTCCGCCCCCCAGTCAGTGTGTCTCTGGCAGCCTGAGCTCACAGGAAGTGGGTTTGATGACGCTAGGCATCATTCAGTTCAGAAGTTGAGTGACGCCGGATCTTGGGGAGTTCTTTTTGCAGGGGGACAGTACCAAAAAAAAAAGGAGTTAAAGTGACATTAAAGGAGAACTATGAGGTGAGCGCTTTTCACTCACCTCATAGTTCTAGCCGACCTGTGACAATGAGACTGTCACAGGTCGACTCAGTAGATCGGGAGGTGAGCGAACATATATCCTTCTCTTCTCTGATGTCCCACGGAGTCTGTGCGGGTGCACGCTGCTCCATAGACTTACCCTGTGTCTCTCCCGGCCAAACATCTGAACTGCGCATGTTTGGACGGGAGCGCGCGGCGGAGACACAGGTAAGTTTTTAAACCCTTTTTTTTTAAAGGTTTGTTTTGTTTTAGTGTTTTTGCATATCTCTACTGCTTGCTAGCCATAGATATATGCAAAAACACGCGAGGGTTTAATAACCCTTTAGGTATTGCAGTCAGAGCTGCTTTTTGGAATTGTTATTACTCATTAAGTTACGCTTAAAACGCTTCTTTTTAAACATAAACAATTGTACCTAGCCATACTTCTGTTTGTATAAGCGCTTGTCACTGCTAACTGCCTCACCCAACAAAATGCATTATTAAAAACCAGATCTGTAAGAGATCATTTGCATAATGAACATTTACATAGTTTGGCTTTGTATGGATGGAATTTTTGCATAGCAGTTTACACTTCTTCCAGCTCAAACTGTCCATGCAGCAGTAAAATGTACTTTCGAAAAGAAAAATTTGGGGAAAAACATTTTTTTTATCTTCAAAGGGTTATTAAACCCTCGCACGTTTTTGCATATATACACGGCTAGCAAGCAGTAGGGATATGCAAAAACATTTAAAAAAAACCTTTTTAAAAAGGGTTTAAACTTACCTGTGTCTTCGCCGCACGCTCCCGTCCGAACATCTAAAGAGTCTCGGGCGGCCGCAAAGGATCTTGGGGCCGGTTCAGATGTTCGGCCGGCAGATGAGGAGAGACACAAGGTAAGTCTATGGAGCAGCGTGCACCTGCATGCAGACACCGTGGGACATATGAGAAGAGGAGGACAGAGGAGTCAGCGCTGGATCGGAGACCCGCACACAGCACTGGAGGGACAGCTGAAAACTACAGGAAGAAGATCGGATTAAGAGGCATCATTTAAGGCAAGTACTTACAGCAGGATTGGGAAGGGGGTGGCGGGATTTGTCTTTTAATGGTTCATGGGGTCAAATTGACAATCTCTTTCAATGGCAATCAAAGGAGCAGGATGGGAATTTTTTTTTTCTTGAATGCCCAAAATTGTAACAGTGAATGGGGTTTTAATTAAAGAAACTCCATTCATTGCAATGTTCAACTCAAACCCAAATTTCAAACGACGCTCGTCAAGTCTCTGACGGCATTACCGAATCTTCTGAATAGATTTTTCGATCGAAGGTTCGGATGAAAATCTAGTTATACTTTCTCAATGGTTCCCAAAAGCCCCGACCCATAGAAGCCATGGTTTCCATACCCTGCACTGATGATGGCCAACATGTCTGAAAGAACTGTGTGCAGCTTGGACAAATGGTTCTGTAATGTTAGGGTATAAAGCAGCAAATCCAGATGCACATTGGGCCTAGGGCAGGGGTAGGCAACCTTGGCTCTCCAGCTGTGCTGACACTACAAATCCCACCATGCTTCCACCTCTGGAAGTCATGCCTGTGGCTTGCAATGTCTTATGGGATTTGTAGTTTCAGTACAGCTGAAGAGCCAAGGTTGCCTACCCCTGGTAGGGATGATTCACATGGCTGCATCCACTATCCCAAATTAAAGAACAGATCCTTTGTGGGGTTTTTTTTGTGATGGAAGTGAGACATGCAGATGCCTTTTGTCTTTGTAAGAGCCTACTGTGCTTCACACGGGTTTTGTGGGTATTTTCGGTTCCTTTCAGCCCACCTCACTATATAACCTGATCTACTCTATCTAGACTTTGAGAGGAAACTGGAACCTCCTGAAGATATTGTCCTCCTTGAGAATCCACCTGTGAAATAAAGTATCTTCTAAAGTGCTGACTTATTGTGCAGATCTTCACAGAATACACATTCGTTCCTTCCCTCAAAGGAACTTGGCCCAATACCCGTACCACACTCCACACACACCTACACAGAATTTGGCTAATATTGATAGAAGCCATCCAGGATGTTTTTGTGTGTGAGGTATCCTTTACGGGTAAACAGAGAGCATAGGAATTCCATGCGGGTTGTGTTCTGGGGTACCAGCACTATAGGGTGGCAGTGCTCTCCTCTGAGTGGTTGGGCGTATGTGAAATTGGTAAAGATTTCTGTGCTCTTGGTAAATCTTATTGTCTCTTGCCAGGACGCTGCCAGCAAAAAGGAAGAAAAGAACGCTGAAAAGACTGTAGCCAAACCTGCCGCTAAACCGAGCTCACTGAACCACGAGCAGCGCCTGGAGAACATCATGAAGAAGACGACGTTTGAGCAGAAGGTAGAGCCATCTGGTGGATATTTACTGATAGTGGCAGCAGAAGATACTTTATACTAGCTTTGTTGTGCTGCCTCTGATGCAGATCAGTCATTGGTTATAGTGACCTGCCTGGACATTCTTGTCAATGTACTGAAGTCACAAAGTCCACTCGGTTATCATTAGACATTTATAGAATCCAATAATACGGAGCATAGCGTTGTTTGAGGGTGGGGACCGCAGCTTCTTCTCACAGGACTGTCTGCCGTGCAGACTGTCGCTCTGAGAATTAGAGGGCGATGTTTGGATTCTAACACTTGGCTTCAATTTCCCAGGCTCTGATACAGGTAGCAGTACACAGAAGAATTGAGTGAATAGGACAACTGGCTGCCAGGATGTAACACGGCTCAGGAGATCAGTGAGATTAGATGCAACATTTTCAGGCGTTACTGGGTTGTGCCATTACTTTTACTTGCTGCAGAGGTTACCTGATATTTCCATGCATAAGTGTTTCATCCTGGGGCCTCGCCAGCAACACCATGGTGGCACTCTGATCAGAAGTTTTTTTTGTTTTGTTTTTTTCCTTCTATCTTTGAGCCAGAAGCTCTCAGATTTTTTATAATCTCTGTGTTAACTTCAGAGAGATTTCCCCCCCTCTCCATGTCTTGATGACCCTAAGTAACGAAATCTCGCCAATGGGGATATATGCAGAGGCAAACACCAATACAAACAGAAGAAAATCTGGCCGCACATCGGACTCCACTGGAATAGTTTATTGAAGCTTGTACCACATCACTCGCCCAAGGTCCTTCCCCTCTGTTGCGTTTCACCCAATCACAAGCTTAGTGGAAGAGATTGGGTGAAACGTGTCAGCGTTGGCGGACCTTGGGTGGGACACGAGTGATGTGGTACAAGCTTCAATAAACCGTTGCAGTGGAATGCGGTGTGCGGCCACCTTTCCTTCTGTTTGTATGGGCTCATACTAGAGCAAGGACATGCTCCCAGCGGCAAGCACCCGGCTGATTTCTTTCCTGAGCCGTGGAGGAGCGGTGACTCTTTTGTGTGTGCTCCTTGCATCTAAAGGTGTCAATGCATCTTAAAGTGACCCTATCACCAGACCTGATAATCTTTCCACAGCAGACCCCTGTAGAAGAACAAGTTTTATACTTTGCTCTCCGGTAGGCGTTGTGTGTTGAAATTTGCTCTCCCAAAGGACCCCAGGTGCCGCTGCTGTCACCAGGGACCACGTGCCACTGCTATTATTATTATTATTATACAGGATTTATAGAGCGCCAACAGTTTGCACAGCGCTTTACAATATAAGGAAGACATTACAAGACAAGATGGTAAGGGGGGTCCTGCCCCTGAGGGCTTACAATCTAAAAGGGAGGGGCAAGTGATACATGAGGAGGTAGCTGTGTGGGGATGAATTGTTTGAGAATGTGATGGTTCAGTGGTTAGGTTGAGGTGGGATAGGCTTCCCTGAAGAGATGAGTCTTAAGGGATCGCCTAAAGGCAGTCAGAGTGGGAGATAGACTAACAGGTTTGGGTACAGAGTTCCATAGGATGGGAGAGACTCTAGAGAAGTCCTGGAGGCGAGCATGGGAGGCGTAGATGAGGGAGCTGTAAAGCAGGAGGTCTTTTGAAGACTTACATTACTGTCAGTGTACCTATTGGAGTGTTCTAACGTCCTGTCCTGGTGACACAACAGGAAGCAACAGGATATCTACCAAAGACTGCAGGAAAAGATGTTCAACCCTTCTGCCTTTTAAAGCTAAAAGAACTGGAGAGGGTGTTGCTGGACCCGTTCTAAAAATTCAGTGCATCATTTGCTAAAAGTGCTGGCGATATTTTTTGTAGCTGTGACCGAAGTATAAACATAATTTCTGATTCCGTTTCCTTTTCTCATTTTTACAGCCCGAGAAGGATTTCTTTGGGAGGCAGATAGTG